GGAGGGAGCCTGAATCTTTGTGCCCCTGCTGCAGAACCTACATTGGCTGGATCAGACTTGCAGGTTGGAGGTGCCTCAGTCTTGCTTGAGCTGATGAAACACTTGGGTTACTTTGGAAGAAGATGCCCCCCAGGGATGCTTAAAAAGCAAAGGAAAGAAATGGTGTGACTTCCACTCCCCCCCTCTTCCCCAGAAAGATTATGGGCTTTGTGAGGCAGAATTATTTATATATGTGCCCATGTGCTTCATTACCAAATTGGAATAAAACTTGAAATCTGATATGATCCCTTATCTGATCAATAGAAAAAAGCTTCAGGATCACTTTTAGAGGAGGAGAGGTGTCTAAATGCTTATTCACCTTCTTCCACTCCTCTCTGTAGTTCCATTCCATCCTGTCCTCCCCTCACTCTTGCTCTCATTCTCTCTTTCTTGAGAGTAGATAGAATTTTTTTTTTATTATAGTCCCTGATAGCCAAGAAGTCTATTAGCTCGATCAAATCAATCTGAATAGTCAGCCCAGGCTATTTGGTTTCCTTTGACTGCTTTGCCAATGACATTTCATTTCTAATTTTAACATTCATTCATACATGCACGCATGCATCACATTTCTTTATCAGTCAATAGCTAAAGTGCTTTGGGAGCTTCCTAAAAATTCCTATGCCATTCCTAATCCATTTGTATAGGCCTGCTTTGTGTGATCGCAGAGCAGTTAACAAGCCACAATGGCTTGTTATCCACTCTGTGCATGCAGCTGGATTTGCATTATTACCCTCAATTGCATGGCTTCTCATGTTGTCTGAACCTGGTGAGGGCAGCTTGTTTGGGTGGGTAAAAATCACCCAGAACTTATGCCCTTTGTAGAGCTTTGCTGGTTGCTTTTTTCTGTCATTCCCTGATCATTTGTAACATTTTATATAAATCAATGCTGCTATATATGTCTTCTAATGCTCTAATATACGTAGTCATTGCTCTAATTTCCTGGAAAAGTGAAGTGATGCAACAAAGATTTTTATCCTGTATAGAGTGAGAAATCCCTGATGTTCAAGTTGGACTCTGAAAAGGAAGAGGCACTCGAGATCATACTGCCAATAGACATTGGCTAGTGGACTGCACCCAGGAATTTTAGAAGTTCAGTCTATGTTTCATAGGCTATGACATAGTCTTTGACTGTGTGAATCTGACCTTCATGAGAAGCTCTGGATGGTCCTGAAATAAATGGGCATGCCCCAGCATTTGATTGTCTTGATACACAATGGTTTTCATGGTCAAGTAGCTACAGTTAGGACAGAGTAAAGAGAAACGGAATGGTTTCCTATAGGCAAAGGTGTCAGACAAATGTGTATTTTATCTCCCTATTTGTTCAATCCATATGCAGAATACAACTTAAATAAAGCTGGATTAGGATCAGAGAAAGGAATGAAAATTGGTGGAAGAAACATCAGTTACTTATATTATATACCAAGCCATATTGGTGTATAATATAATTGGTGTATAATATAATTTTCTATATAAATGTAATATTGTTTTTGGGCAAATAAACCAATTGATTCATGTCAGCTGAAATCCTGAATCTGTGGTCGTTGACACAGGTCATGCTTTACCTCCTTACCTGCTGGATCATAGAGGCACACATTTGAACTCATATCACACAACCAAATTACCAATACGCAGAAGTCAATTGGAAGCTGATAGGTGTGAAAGGATGATTTGAAACAAGGGAGTAAAGAGATTTAAAAGGGTAACAAAGAAAATTACTTAGCCCAAAGGAGAGGAGGAGCCAGAATCAGATAGCACAAGGTATGGGGAAACAGACACTTAGGCAGGAGGGCCAAATACTTCCTGATTGTTTATTGACAAGCTGGGCAGAACAAAATGAGCCTATTGTAGCCCACCGGGGGCAGGGCTGGATTGGGAAGAAGGGCCGGTGTTGGGGCAGCGTGGAGTAGGCGGGTGGAAAGAGTGTAAACTTTTGGTACCCCAGCCAATCGGGGAAAAGAGGAGGGAAGAAGCGACCGGGAGCAGGGTTCAAAAGGGGAAGGCGAGCATGTGCTCAGGTGAACAGAAAAGTGGGAAGGAAACCATTTTTTTTCTGTTCCCTTCATTGCAACAAAGTTTTAAAAAGAACTCTCTGCATGCCTGGAATATATTTCTCTTCCAACGGAAAGGAAAGAGTGATCATAACAAAGCTGCATGAACAAGCTGTTTCCATAGGCTGTGGTAGCCTTACCAAATAACTAATCAATTTTGCATTGATTAGATGTTAAGACAGAAAAAAGTCCTACAGCGCCTAACATTTCCCAGGCAAATGCTAAGAGTTGTAGGACCCTTTTTCTATCTAAACATGCATAAGATTGTGCCCTTGTTAGTCTGTTTCAACCTGTGCTTTAAGACACCTTTTACACAGCTGCCTAGTTATGCTTTGAGTTTATTATATTGCATTTTATATGTGTAGTTGTTCTGTTTTTATTCCTGTGCAAGCTTTCTTGTAAGAGCTATGCCCTTAAAAGTCACCCTATAAAGAAAGAAAGACTCAGAAGCAGCAACTGCTAATGTTCTAACTCAGAAAGTTTTTTCCAGGTCATGGAGGAAGCCAATGCACAGCCATGAGGAAGGACACCTCTGGAAGGTGAGCATCCCAGGGCCCACTGCAGGTGAGGGCTCTGATGACTGATCACACAGAGAAGTTCATGGTTTGTGGGATCTTGGTTCTGTCTTCAGTGACTCCTAAAAGAGAGTCAGTTATGGTGGAGCTCAAGAATCAAGTTGTAGGAATTTTCTGCATGCTCTAAAAAGCTCTCATACTAAGTCCCCAGTTAAGGAAGCAGTTAGGATAGAAAAAAAAAAAAATAGAGAGTGTACTGTGCACATTTCTGCTTCTTAAAAACAAAGATTGTGGCTTTTGAGATATTTTTTTCTGGCTTTCAGCTGCTGACTATTCACATCTAATATAGACAAGCTGCAATTCTGAAGCCAGCTGTACTGAATGAGTCACACCTATTTCATCTGGAGTGTTGCAATGAATACGGACTTTAAGAGGATTTTTTCCCATGCAGAGAAAATCTCCACTTTTAAGTAGAATGTGTTGTTTTGTTCCGTAGGTTTAACACCAGCATTTTATTAATGGTCTCCAAGTGCCCAATCTGAGGAATGGGCTCCCCCCTGGCTATCAGAATGAAAGTGCTATCATGCAGTGTGCTTATTTTGAAATGCAGGTGGCCCCTGCCTTCCTAAAAAGCATGCTGGAGGCCCTGACAGCATCAACATCTCCACAATGATTCCCAAATCAGACTACACCAAGGCAATGAAAATGTAAACAACTCACAGGCAGGCTCTACATAACTGTTCACCAACCAGCAAATTCTGTGCCCATCCGAAGTTCAACTTAATCTGGTCACAGGGTGGGGTTCAGCATTAGCTATCAGTAAATGAATGGGGTTGGATCCAGATTTAGGCATGTGAAAGAGGACTGCCAACAGCAGGCTACCTTATCCCCTCCAGCTGCCAGCATGGCCAATGATCAGAGATGATTGGGTTTGTAGTCCAGCAACATTTGGAAGGTACCAGATTGGTGAAACTCTTTAGGGCTGTTGAGGGGTATAGAGATTTAAGCCAGCACTTTGAACAATGCCTAGGAGCAGGTAGCGAGCTAATGCTAGGGACAGGCAGATTGTGTGTTTTATGGCATGGGGACCATCTGGCTATGGTGTTAAAACAGTTTCAGTTGCTAAAGTGCGCCAAAGAGGACAAGAGAGGAGAGAGATCTGCTAATTTGTAGGTATAGATACAGCTACAGAAATGGTCACTGAATCTAAATAAAAATAGACTGCATCTCACCATAGTTGGGAAGACAGCAACCAGGTGACCCTGTGTGATTGCTTAGTCCAACTGTCCAGGTACTAACTGTGGGTGGACATCTTAAAGACCCTCTTGTTTGCCCTTGCTACACCTCTTGTTCTTTAAAAACAGACTTGAACTGGACAGCCCTTCATACAGAGGAGACAGCCAAATAGATGTGCGTGACCATCCTGCAGTTGGCACACAGCTCATGTTGGCTGCTTAAACTCCGCTAAGCAGGACTGGCTAAGCAGCGGTTGCACAAGTAACAAGGCAAGTGCTTCCTGTGCTGGCAAGCGGATGGGACTTGGCAGGGTGTACACGGGGACTGAGGTGTCTTGTGGTGGGTACATTCTTGGACTATGACCAGTTGGCTTAGGTTCATTTCCCTCTCCCACCCCACCTTGAGGCTTCCAGGGAGACATGGTCCTGTCCTACTTCACAGAGTTATTTTAAGCTTAAAAATAACCCTCCTGAGCTGCCTGTAGGAAATTTGGGATAAAGATGGCCTAAATGAAAGGCCCAGCCAGGGTTGACTTAGTGTCACTGGTGCGCTAATCTTACTGCTGTACACATCTTAGTACAGAAATCTGCTGGGCACTATTCTCATGCACAAAGCATGGCCATGTGGATGGTGTACCGGGCTTGATCCTGGGAAACCCGCGTTCAGATTCCAGTTTAGTGACAGAGGCAGGTTCTGTCTGTTCACATCTGTTCGAGAAGACCTATACTCTGAGAGCTGGAAGACTGTATTTTTTTGTTCACATGTAGCATGCTAATTAATTTTAAATATTTGCTTTAAGCCCAAATTGTCTGGATGTGTTATAAGAAATCAAGAGACTGGACATGTGCAGCTAAGTGTTCAAGAAAGTTTACCAGGCCGCCAATTGGTTCACTTGGTCCCCTCTACCAAACAAATAAGTCCTTTGAACTAGTTCCTCTCTACCTGAGACACTGAGGAAGAGAAAGTATGTTATCCCTTGGAGAGCCAGGTTTTCTTCTTCATCACTTCCACTTGTCTCTCCCTCTCTCTCTCTCTCTAGCATGTTGTGCTGCTGCTGCTTCCTCCTCCTCCCCCCCTCCCCTTCCTATTTGAACCATTTAAGTAAACCAGAGCTGGTAAGTATGTGGATCCCTGGAAATTATTCAGTGGTGGGCTTTGAAAAATGGTGGATGAGGTGGACCAGCAACAAACCACTAATACTGTAGCAGAGCCCTTGGATCTCATCAGACTTCGTCTGGATGAATGAATTTATGTGAAAATGAGGAATGACTGAGAACTTCAAGGCAGATCACATGCTTATGATCAGCATTTAAAAATGATTTTGGGTGATGTTGAAGAGACTGTGACAACAATAGAGAATGCTGAAGAAACATATGAAGAGATGTATAAATCCACCAAGAGGAATATTCCAGTGCTGTCTGTCAGAGGAGATGGAGCTGTACTTGTTGCTTCTCCACTGAGGGTTGGCTGAACCCATGAGAAATGTATCCCTTGGAAAACAATGGGCCTCAAGATACTGGCTTCTGTTCTCCTGAATACTAAGACTCTGCACGCAATTTTACAGGAGATTCTTCCACCTGACTCTGTGTTGTTCAAGAGGCAAGAACTCATTTGGCAAATAGAGGACATGAAAGAGTTTTCCTACACTAGTTTAAATGCTATTTTCTTATGTACCAGTGCAGTGGACTTAACTTTATAGTTAACACGTATGTTAGAAGTGCATTCCTTTTTTAAAAAAATAAACCTTTTGTTGGTTTACTGAAAAAAGAAAAAAATACTTAGTGGCCCTGGCACCTGTTGCCCCACCCACACTCACCACTGTGTTCAAAAGGGTGCAGTAACCTTGGTGGGCTCTTCACACATGCAGTTTTCCTTGTTGGGCTTTTGTAAGATTGCAGCGCTGCATCAATAACAGCAGAAAAGGCAAGTTCCTTTGTCCTGGATGCCAATATTGATTTGCATAGGAACATCAGCCAAAACATTTTTGCTTCTGGACACTAAACAGTTTAGGGTTTTTTTAAATACTGAAGGTCATGACAACACTAGAAACTCTAGTGTTTTTAAGCATTTTTAGGACCACAACCAGCTACAAAGTCAAGTGCATTTGTTTATTTTATTGGGTTAAAGCACTTTGTCTTCACTCTGAGCTAAAACGTGGCCAATTTTGATCCAGCCAGTGTGGAAAAGTGGTTTGAGGTGGAATAGTTGTTTGTTGTGCTAATGCATGCAGAATTAATTCCTAGAGTGTGCCAAGGGCAGATGGAAAATTTCTGTCTTAGTAATGCAACACATTCATTGTAATAGCACATTTAAGAACTAACCACTTCATCACACAGCTCAAACAATCACAAACACAAAAAAGTACACTGCCTTACTGGTTTCTTAAAACAATACGTGAACATGAACTAAGACAGAAAGTCAGGTGCAAACACATAAGCTATATGTTCAAGTCAAAGCAGTGTAATGTGCTAGGCCATGAACCCTCCTCTGCAGATCCTGCTATGCCACAGCTGTCAGTGCAAAACAGTGACCGAATGTGCATGTTCTGAAATGTTACTAACCCTGTATGCAAATACAGCCCCTGTAAATCCACAACCAGATGCTGCACAAGCAAAACCTCACACAGGTTGCCGTCTAAGTACACCTCTCCTGCAGAAATATGACTGAATCTTGCTTCAGGCAAGAAGCTTTCACTGGGCAATCTTTCCTCCTCACGCACAGTCCGCATTCCTATTTCAAGCACAAGCTGTGCTGCCCTTGGTATTACCTGTCCGACTTGACTTCCTCTCTCCAAAGGCCCCTCTGAAGTTGGCCAGGCATCTTATTACGCTGCACACCCACCGCAGTGAGCTTTCAGGCGGAGGCTACCAGCTGCTCCAGGCTTCATCTGCTTTCATGGACCACTAACCTGACAGGGCTGCTTCATCCTGCTGTACACCCCTTGCTGGCAACTACTTTTTAAACTGTATTTTACATCAAGCTAGAAACGTATCGTCACCTATGCACCCCCAAACAAGCTAAGACCCTGGCAAAACTCTCCTCCGCACCTCCTCCTCATCTGTGAAGTAACTGTTGGTTTGACACAGACTTTCTCATGCACCTCAGCTGTGCAGCTCTATTTTCCTATCACTGAGAGCAGGGACACCCCAAACTTTCGAGAGATTGGCACGGGCAGTGTCACAAAATGGCTGCCAGGGAGCTTGTCCATTTAAAAACTGGTGGGCACGATCAGTCGCAAAATGCTAATTTCCCAAAGGTAAACTGATGGGTTGGACACGACTTTGTGACTAACAACAACAACAACAAACTGTTGGGATTAAAAAAGCAACTTCTCCAAAACATAAAATCACTTGTTTGAACCTAAATAAATATTGTGCAGGGGGGCAGCTCTTAGCTTTGCGGCAAGACAACTTTACAATTATTATTATTATTGTTATTATTAATTAGAGTAACCTTAAGAAAGAAAATACAAATCAGGGAGTGGAGGGATCAAGGTGGCGCCAGGAGCCATCAGGCTGGAGATGTCAGATTTCGCTTGTTGACTTGGAGCGAGCAGCTGAGGCACAGCAGGGGAAATGCTTCCTGTTGTCTGCTTTGTTGGTCTGGACACTGGGGGGAAAGGGGGTTGAACGGGCCCTTTGAGTCTTGACTTGTGAGGAAGTGGCGGTCGTGCACGTTTGTGAGTGTGTGAAAACCTATCAGCAAATGATCTTTTCTGGAGCAGTTCAAGGATTTGGCCACTGGATGGGGATCTTGTATGAAAAATGGGAAATCAAATAACCTGGTTATTCTGCCTTCCGTTGGCTCCCTTTTTAAAAAGGAATCTATGCTAAGTCTTGGCCAAGGTAGATTATGGGCATCCACAGACACACTGATTTTGAATCTGCAATTATTAAACGTTCAGAATGCTCCTTAATTTGTTAGCTTGAACAGGGTGGCTTTGAAATTGACATCATGTCTATTTACTTAGGCAAAGTCAGTCAGCAGTGGCACAGAATGACAGAGAGGAAAGAGGAAAAGTTCAGATTCATTCCTACACTGTCACAGATGCAAGTACACAAATAGTGTGATAGCACAGCAGATCAAATCTAATGTTTGTTTTCTGTGACATCCTTCTATATACTTCTACTATAATAGACATATATAGACAAATGGCTCATGACATCGTCAGATCTAGTAAAATAATACATACGGAGAAGTTCCACTCATTTATTTCCTTGTTTCTTCCCTGTTCTACAGCACCTTTAACATCTAATTAGTGTTCAATTAGCATTTAATATTTGGAGAGCAACACCCACAACTAACTGCTTCGGTTCTTACACTGATGTGATCAGCTAAGACACTTGTTTGCTTCAAAGGATAAAGCACAAGGCAGCGGGGAAGCTCCAGAGACAACAGAGTGAAAAGGATTCTGGCAGTTACATGATTCTGCAAGTCAGTGTGCAAGAATAAATAGAAGACTTTGACCTACACAAACTTAGCTCAAGAACTTAATCAGAGACATGATACGCAATTACTCCACAGCAATTGGAGTGAAAACTTAGCTCACACTGCTAGCAGCTTATTTTCAGAAAAGCATATTGTCACAGGTAATGTCTAGTATGGAATGCTTGGGGAAGCCACAACAACAATACAAGTTGGATGGTGGTGTTGTTACATGCTGTCAAGTCACCTCTAACCTATGGTGACCCTATGAATGAGTGTCCTCAAAATGACGTCTCCTCGACAGCCCTGCTCAGCTCTTGTAAAATCAAGGCTGTGCCTTCCTTGATGGAATTGATCCATCTCATATTTGGTGGTGGTGGTCATTGTCTTCTTCTTCTTCCTTCAACTTTCCCCAGCATTATTGTCTTCTCCAGTGAGCCTTGCCTTCTCATGATGTGCCTGAAGTACAACAGTCTCAGTTTCATCATTTTTGCTTCTGGGGAAAGTTCTGACTTAATTTGTCCTATGACCAAATTATTAATCTTTCTGTTGGTCCAGGGAATTCACAAAGCACCATTTTTCAAATGCATCTAATAAAAATTCAGTATCATAAAGTCATAACAAGTAGTTACAGCTCTTTCTTTTTTCATTTTTACTCTAGAGTAGGCATGGCTGGGACTGATTCAGTTCCTAGTGCCAGGGGTAGAGTGGCTTTAAGTTTCAGGCCTGCATTGTAAGAACCACTTTACAAAATTATGTTTGTTTGTTGCCATGGGTTTCTTTTTCATGTGAATACAGGAGGTGAAACAGACCTGTGTGTTCATTACTATTTATGTAATTACCAGATTTATATACTGATCCACATTAAACAGACTGTAGTGCAACGAGTGTAACATGACCCAGCTCTTGAGGCTCCAGAAGGTGGTGGTGGTGGGGGGTTAATCCAGGAACTGACAAAATCCTGGAAATTTCAGATGCCAGCCTACTGGGAATCTGCTGCCCAAGGCCTTTGGAAAACTTCATCCTCCCTTTGGTGTTAAGGGGGTGAGAAATATCAGAATTGGCCTCAAGGATGCTGGAGATAAGGCAAAGGCTAAGGACCAGCTCCTGGAGTAAATGGCTGGCCCTGGGAACTGGGAGATGGGCCATCATCCCATGGTCAGTTGACCTAGGGTGGGGGTGCAGGATAAAGCCTGAAGAACAGAGCAGCCCCTTGTTCCTCTCCTGGGAGCTTCCATTCTGCTGCCAGTTCTCTGTGCCGAAGAGCACTATGGCATCCTGTGTGGTTAGAAAGTGGAATTTCTGTGTACAGGCAAGGGTAGAAGCTGTTTATTATTTTGCTGGCCTAGAGGGCCAGCAAGGTTCATGACTGTCTGTAACTTGTCTTGTGGCTGCTGTCCAATTCCCCTTGCCCCCTCCCTTCCCTTCTTTCCTGTTTTTATCCCTTTTTAGATTCCAAGTTTTAATTCCTTTGCTCCTCTATTTTAAGCTTTTAATAAACTTGTTTGCTTCCCACACTTTGTCCGTCATGTGCTGAATCTAGTGGCAGGTCCCGGGTACTGGGACCAGGGATTTTCTGGACTGAATTTTGCTCAGGTAGCTGGGGAAGTGCAGGAATCCCTGATGGCTTCCCATTACAATGAGCACGAAAGCAATCAAAAATAAACAAGAATAAGACATCACATTAAGGCAGAATGCCAACCGAAAACCATGGCTGGCAAGTCAAAGAAGACTTCTTGGAATAAAAATGTTTCCAGGAAGGGCCAGCATCCACACAGTGCTGGTGCATGCCTGATCTACAAAGGCCAGGAGCTCCACAGAAAGGGAGCTACCACCCTGGAGGCTCTTCTCTGGTGGACCCCAGAAGGTCTTGTGGAACCTCCAGGAGCATGACTCCTGATGACCTTTGTGACCCGGCAGGTTGATATGGGAGGAGTCGCTTTCTCTCAGGTATCCTGGTCTCAAGCTGTTTAGCACCACCAGCACCAAATTCTGAAACTGGCATATACACATGAATAAGTGGCAGGCAGCATGCATGTTACTTCCTGGATGTGAAGGAAATAAAATGATGTGGCAATGTCCTTCAGGAAAAAGAATGAATGAATGGAAGGAAGGAAGGAAAACAGAAAGAGAAAGCCACACATCAGGAGGCAGAGGTGCCAACACGGAGAACCTGAGGTTAGCCAAATCATATTACGTATTAATAAAGAAGATCTTGAAAGAGGTTGCCTCTTTTTGGTGTGAAGATGGTGTGGAGACAGTGGAGAGGGAGACCAGAATCCAGGGTCATCCCATGAAGCGGATGCATGGAGATGTAGGACAGATAAGAGGAAGTATTTCTTCATGCAGCACACAATTAAATGATGGAATTCACTTCCATGAGATATAGTGAGTGATGGCCACCAATTTGAATGGCTTTAACAGGGGATTGGACAAATTCACGGGGGAGAAGGCTATCCATGGCCAGTAGGCCTAAGGCTAGATCCCACCTCCAATATCTGAAGCTGTGGGCCTGCATACACCAGTAGTTGGGGAACTTGGGCAAGAGGGTTCTGTTGCACTTACATCCTGCTTGTGAGATCTGGTGGGCAGCTGGCTGGCCACTGTGTGACCAGAAGGCTGGCCTGGATGGGCCCATGGTCTGATCCAGCATGGCACTCATGTTTTTAAGTCTAGTGTGGTCCTGTTTTCTTATTTCAGCCTTCTGCAACCCGGCACTCCAGTTGTGTTGGATTTCTCCAGGTTGGGGAAGGCTGCCTAAGTTGATTTGTATTCTGCCATCTCCAAATATCCAATGCTGCTTCTTCATGCCTGAATAGTTATCATATACCAATTTTTCCTGTGTACCCAAAGCCTTCCATTACATATTACCATACTTACCCAGAGGCATCTGTATTTGCCAGACATCTGTCTGAACCTGATTCCGTGTCCTGAGAGTTCTCTCGGGAATGATAGATGATGGAACAATTAGTTTGGCAGTAAAGGAACTGCTTCTCCATGCAGTCAGAGCAGACTGCTGTATTGGTGTATCCACTCTGCATTTTAGTCTGAGGTTTAAAGGACAGTTCCTTAAAGGTTCAGGCTAAAGCCTGGAGTGGATACACATACCCAATTTGCTTTTATTTATTCACTATTATTTCTTCCTTCCTTCAAGGAACTCAAAGCCGTATCTATAATCCACTTCTTTCTCTCAATTTGATCCTCACAAAACCCCTGTGAGGTCGGTTGTTGGTTAGACTCAGAGTCACCCAGTGAACTCAGTAGCTGAGTTTGGATTAGAACCCATATTAGAACAGTCTGACCACTATACTACACTGCTTTTACTATTTGCAGGGTTGTAGCAGACAAAATGCTTTTATGGGTGTTCAAATGGATGAATGTGAGCCTTGAATATGTACCCAAGGCTCCACTTCCATTCTATGGGACAATAACTCCTTTGATGCAATGGGATGAAGATTTCATAACATGGAGTCTCACTCGTGCTGCTTAGAAATTGATTTGGATAACTGCATACTGCATTTGTACAGGGAAAGTATTTGCCCAATAATTCATTTGTGCTTGCAAATGATTACTGTCAAGGCCATGAGGACATGAATAACATACTGCTCCTAAGGCATGTACTACTGCCTTCCACAACCTGGAGCCCCCAGATGCTTTATATTTCAACTCCCAATGGCCAATGGTCAGGAATGCTGTGAATTGAAATCCTGAACATCTGGAAGGCACCAGCTTGGAGGAAGGCTAGATTGAGGAAGGCTAGAGCAGTGGAACAGGCTCACTTGTGAGTGACAAGATAGCCAGGTCCTATCCAAATAAAAATCTTGAGTTCTGTATTAATTAAGGGACTGCACTATGATTTCCCCCATCTATCATTTAATAGCCCGGCCAGTCATCTACATCCTTATAGTTTCTCTGTCTAACCATGTATCCATCTGCTTTCAATTATTAATCTGAGAAATGAATCTTCCTTCCTCTTTCCCAAATATTTATGAGTTCTTTCCTAATTCCACCCACTGAGTGCCCAGGAAAATGATGAAGTATTACACATTGGCCATCTATTTTCAAAAGGTTGGTAAGCTTCAGTTCAGCTTCAGTTTAATCAGCAACAAACTTCAAAGGGATATGCCAGGGTGGGTGGACTTCAAGCCTGAAAGATCTACTTTGTTTCAGGAACAGGGCAAATCTCAGCTTAGGAATTTGTTTTCTTTGAAATTTGAACATAGAGTTTTCGCACAAAATCCTTTAAAAATCCTACCCACCCCCCCTTTGCCACCCAGGCCTTCTTTGTTTCAGCTGCCCAATTTGCTGCAGAGGAGTTGTTCCTACTTTTGAATGATTGGGAGTCAGAATCCTTCATTATCTACTGCAAATCACCTAAAAATCTACCAGTAGATCCCCGTCTGCCTTCTATCCACCTGTGGATAAGTATTGTACTGTGGATGTTTAAAACACTGCCAAGAGAGGATTCTGATGAGTCTGTTTTAGTACTAGAGACACCTGGAATACAGACAGTAAGGATTAGACCTCATGTATATCAAGCAATTCGGCTCTAGGCCATGGTTAAGAATGCCTGAATATTCTTTAACAAGATTCTGATCTTGAAATTACAGGAAACCAAATCCCAGCGAGAGATCAGAAAATATTCCCACCTGGAACCAATGACCTAGAGAGCTTGTGGGAATTCCCACACTAGAGGCATTCAAGATGCAACTGGACAGCCACCTGAGAGGGAAACTTCAACTTGGAGTCCTGCACTGAGCAGGGGGTTGGACCCGATGGCCTTCTGGACCCTTCCAACTCTACCATTCTATACTTCTGTGTCTCATCCAGTGGGAAGGTTTTGGCTATATGCCTCTATGTTGATGCATATTACTTGCTTGTGGTTAAGCAACACATTGATCCCACACCCATCTCAAGCTCATACTGATAAAACCCTTTGCACTAAACATAATCGTAGATGCTCCATTAATATATCTAGTTAGATTTTCTACCCACACACACACCTACTCGGAAAGCCTCCTGCTGTTTGCAGAGCAGCTATGGGAAAGCCCCATTTCAAATGGTCATGAAGTTGCTAAATTTAAGTAGTTACAGGACTTCTTGGGAGTGAATGTCAGTGAGATAGGCAAAGATATACAAGCCTTGTAAAAGCAGATGACCCTCTGCAGTGAACTTACCGAGTGCCTGGAGATCGAAAAGGCCTGAAGAGGGAATGTATTTCCCATGGGACATCATTAAGAAGTGACATTGCCTTCTACACAGTTCTAAGCAAGAGATGAA